CAAAGGTGCGGATGCAGACAAGCAGAACCACCCGCTGCTAATAACATTTGCCAGCCCAGGACAGGGCAAATCCCGCTTCCTCTCAGAGCTCCCCGACATGATCGAGCAGTGTCGCATGAAGCTCAACACCGAACAGGTGCGGAAGTACCAGAAGACCCTGGCCTTCTTGATCACCTGTGAGAATGGCACCCCACCTGGAAACTGGGCAACGGTGGAGCTGAATGCTCCACGCTTCGTCGCCTGCCGCATGCTGTGGCAGCTGCGGGCGGCCAACCAGGCGGCGTTCCAAGCAGCCGGAGCTCCGGAGAACTTTGCTGAGTTCCGTGCTCAGTGCCCCCAAGAACTGGTGCCAGACAAGGTGCTGAAAGCCGTGCTACGGGACGCAATGGAAACCACTATCGTCGTTCTGGGAGTGGACGGCATGCAGGGCCTCGAAGGCTTCGACCTACGTGCTGAGGAGGCAGGTAAGGCGAAACCGTTCTATGAGGTCATGCTAGAAGTGTGCCGGCTCGTCAACCAAGAGCCCTCTCCGCTGGTGGTAGGATGCGTTTCTGCCACTGAAACTCTGGATCACGGCCTGGCATCGTCACCCCAGTTGCGCCACCGCCTAACCCTCCCTCGTGTGAGCCGGGTGGAGGAAAATGGCAAGGACATGGTTCCGCATCATCGCCTCAAGAATTTGCTGGTGCAAGACATGGGAGGCCACGGCCGAGCTTTAGAGGCTCTTGTGCAGGCGCTGGAGGAACATAAAGATGACAGCGATGCTTCTGCTGTGATTTGGGCAGTCAGGCAGCAACTGTCAAAGAAGTACCCCCGTGCTGGCATCCTTGGCAGGTCGGGCTCGCAAACCTTCGACGATGACTCTATCAAAGCAGTTCTTCGCACGGCACTGTCAGGCAAATGGGTTCGGCGCGGTGTCAAGCTTGTGAACATCGATGCTGAGAAGGCAGACTTGATGCGTTTGCAGTACAATGATACCTGCACTTACTACCGCATTGAAGTTCCGTACATATGGCTGCACATGATGCTCAGCACTGTGGCAGCAAATTCTGTAGATCTGGCCCCATGGCGCCTGATGGACTACAACCAGTTTCTGAGGGATCCACCGCAAGATGGCACAGAATGGGAGGAGTTCAACGCAGCCTTTAGAGTGTTGCGGTCTTGGGCTTTCGAAGAAAAGGAAGCAGTGCCAACACGCTCTTTGCACAGCGGTGCAATCATACAGCCAGGTACCTTAGCGGAGAAGATGGTCATCAATCACCATCTGAAGCGCTTCAAGGCAACGCATCGCATAGCAACGGCTTCAAATGTCTGCGGCAACCCAAAGCCCAACAAAGGCTCAGCAGCGACAAAGCCCGCCCGCAATCTCAACAAGCATGTGTGCGAAGTCGATGGCGAGGAGACCACGGTCAATTTGACGCGGACTGATGTTCTTGTTGTGAATGCCAAGGGTGCGCCTGCTGCAGATGCGGTCCTTCGCTTGCGCACCCAGACTGGCGATCTGATCGCAGCGTGCTTGCAGATGAAGCATGGGCAGTCAGCTTGTCACCTAGAAGCTGAGCGTGCGAAAGCCTGTGGTGAAGATGACATCTTCGTGGTGCTGCGAAACATCAAAACTGACACTCCAGCTGGCGAGAACTTGATATTTGTGTCCGAGGGTCAGTTCGCAGAATACTACGGAGTTTACAGCGGCAGGGCATTCAGCAGTGCGGCCAGAAGCGTGGCTTGTCGGATCCAGCAGTAGTTCCAGTTCATGGTGCAAGTGAAAAAGGACTGCCCTGGCAATTGCTAGTCTGTGTCGATTTTCCAGCCTTTGCTGTGCTCATGCCTCTCTCCACCACCGTGCTGCTGTCATGACGTTGTGCAACTAGAGCTTTGACCACTGGCTTGCTGATGTTGTTAGTTGTTCATTGAAACGTTGGGACATGTGGTGCATTGATGTGCCCTTGCAGGCGTGTTGTTGCTCGCACGGGTATGCTTTGGCCGTTCTTTTGCTGTCCTCACGCGTGGGCTGGAAGGTCGTTCCACGGTGCTTGGACCTCGCTGCAGGCATTCTTTATTGCAGCAGTCGTTTGATTTCACAGACTCCTCGTGCGGGTAGTTTGGCTAGCTATGCCATGTTTGTCTTGGGAGGTGGTTCCCACACGCTTCGACCTTCAGGCATCGAAGGTTCGTGCGAGTTCAGCGGCACTGAGTGTTTAATTAGGAAGTGGGCCACAAACCGATGCGGTGACCATTGGCGCACCGCCTTTTCGGTGCGCGGTAGGTCGTGCTTGGGATTGGTCACAGCAAGCACCGCGGGCTGTGAACAGAAGCAAGCCGGTGCAGCAGCGTGAACTGAGAGGGACAATTTTTGCTTTTTTCTCGCGACTTCCTGATTGTAGATGTTTAGCACTGCATATCCATCCTGCGGCATCCGTTTTGCGCGATAGTTGCTTGAGCGAGTGACATGCTGAATATGATTGACTCACCTGCAGCTTCGTAGTCCTTGTAGAAAACCACGCCGGACTCCCAGGTCTTCGCTCCGACTACTTCACCATCTTCGTGGCTGGGCGTCTGAGCGGAAAAAAACAAGTCGTGATTCCGCCAGCCGCTTTGTTGAGTGCCAATAGGTTCAGCTTGCCTGTAGGTTGTGCCGGCGTTGAGCTTTTGAACCCTCCCTATCCTCCTAGATGGTGCTCGAACTGCACACGCAACGAGAATAAGAGCATCATTCCTCTGTCTTGTATGGAGTTCTGCCACACAAACGGGCTGTAGCGACCCCCGACCCTTCCGTTGATGACCCTTTGCCGGGGACCTTTAAGAAAACTCAAGCATTTTCTTTCCCCAATTCGAATAATCGAGCCATGGCGGCTGCTGCCATTGCCCTTGGTGCGGCGCTGGCGGACGATGAGAGGGTCCAGGTGCGCCAGGCGCACGTGCGAGAGCGTGCCAGCGCTTGGATGCACGAGATCGTGGTGCAGCCGAGGGCTGATGTTCAGATGACCATCGAGGACATCAGGGCTGCCCGGCGCTTGCTTGAGCGCTCCCTTCAGGTGCAGCTGTCCTTCTTCGTCAAGGTCAAGCTGCAGATGGAACTGGTGCAGCCGGCGGTGGAACGGGCAGAGGTGCCGCTGGAGTGGCCTGCAGATGAGCCGCGAGTGGAGACCTACTTTCTGAACATGGCTCCTTTCCTTGTGCCCCCCCAGGCAAACATCGCCCGCCGCATGAACGGCATCATCAGCGATGCAAGGGCTTCCTTCGAGCGACAC